TTTACCATTAAAAAAGATGCATGTAAGGGGCGCCTGGATGGCTCAGTGGGTTAAGCCTCTGCTTTCAGCTCAGGTCATGATCTCAGGGTCCTGGGATCGAGCCCCACATCGGGCTCTCTGCTCAGCAGGGAGGCTGCTTCCCTTCCTCTCTCTGCCTGCCTCTCTGCCTACTTGTGATCTCTGTCTGTCAAATAAATAAATAATAATCTTTAGGGGAAAAAAAAGATGCATCTAATATGAAAATCTCTGACACTATCACCAACTGAAACTTTTGATGCAACTTTCTTTACAATCAGTACAAACTAGAATTCTCTTTTGTTTACTTCCTCCAGAGAAACTTTACATTAGAGGAAAAACAAAGAGCACTAACAGTTCAAAAACAGCCGCGCACAGAAGTGACTGGAACACTGAAGCAGAACATTTTCGCTATAAAGGCTTGTCAGTGCGGTTTCAGCCCGGCTTCGGAAGAGTGCCGTGTGAAATCCAGATCCAGCGACTGGGGGGGATGCAGCAGTTGTATTTTAAGTCAAACAGCTAATTAATGGCTAAACAAAAGAATTTCGGTCTGGACAACATACATGGAGTACTAATATGTGTAATTATGGATAGTCATTTGTGCAATCAGAAAGTTGCATTAGCATAATCATTTCTGGCTCTGGGCCTTAAAAATATTAACTTAAAATGCAGAAACCTTCTAACAGTTCACCTAATGAAGACGTGAATGCCAAACTGATTATGGAGTAAAGAGCTGGGTCTTCAACAATTCTGCTCTGTTTAATACGCTCTTTCTCTCCTGCCCTGGATATAAAAATCAAGCCTAACCCTCAAGTTACACACAGGTTCAAAATTTCTACTTTTAATATTTTTTCATTATCCAGAGCCTACACATTAATATTCATTAAGAACAAAACTACTTCCCTAAGAAATGAGTGTTACCTTTTTTTATCTCTTTAAGTTGGCTCCACACCCAGCACGGGGCCCAACTCGGGAGCTTGGATCATACCCCCAAGATCAACACCTGAGCGGGGATCAAGAGTCAGATGTTTAACCGACTGAGCCATCCCAGCACCCCGAAATGAGTACTACCTTTAAAAAATACTTCACACAGAAGCCTGGGTGGCTCAGTCTGTTAAGTGGCTGCCTTTGGCTCAGGTCATGATCCCGGAGTCCCGGGATGGAGTCCCACATCCACCCTGCCTCGGGCTCCCTGCTCAGCGGGGAGCCTGCTTCTCCCTCTGACCCTCCCCTTCTCCTGCTCTCTCTCTCTCTCTCTTTCTCTCTCCCTCTCTCTCTCTCATTCTCTCTCAAATAAATAAATAAAATCTTTAAAAAAAATACAATGCAAAACTATATTAAGTTTATGTACAATATAATACTTGAAGACGTAAATAAATAAAGCCAAACAATTCTATACAACAAAAGGATCAGAAGTCACTAAACAGCTGTGAGATCTTGAGAAAGTCTATTTGAAATTGTTCTTTGGGACAGAACTGGAGAGGAAATGGGCTCCAAAATCAAGCCGCATGTTAGACTCCCGAGTCCAGCACTCCTGAGCACGTAATTGAACATCTCTGTGGCTCAGATCTCTTGGCTGATACCCTACGGATAACCACACAGTCTGCCTCACAGGACGAATTCCAGGAGTAAACTTAAGTACTCACATCAAGGACCCTCCAGTGCCTCACAGCGCATGCTCAGTCCATGCTGGCTGCCGTCATTACTGCCACCACCAACATCACCCCTCCTTTACGCCTGCAAGAACATGGGCTAAGGCTGTGTGTGGCTAAAAAGCCTAATCCGAAGTGATTTGTTTCTAGACACAACATTTATTTTGCAATTGCAAGTAACATTCAGGAAGTGCAGGAGATTTTATCTATTCCAATGCGTTAAGAAAGGTTACAGGAGCTTAGCTGGGCCCTAAGACCTCCTTATCTTCTGGTAGCCTTCCTTTTTAGTGACGTTCAGCTTCACCAAATATTTGCTTATGAACCCACACAATACTAACACCCCACAATACTAATCCTATGTTAACTCTTTTTAATCCAAAATTAAATGACAGAATGGATTTGCCGAGCACACTAATGTGGTTAAGAGTTGTGGGTCTTTGATTAAAAGCCAAGAAAACATAACAACAGAACTAATGTTCCTAAGAATTAGTAAGCAACATACAAGAAATCAAGCTTAGAGAGAGACTGGCCCTAACAAGTATGCTATCTTGACCAAATGAGTTAACCACTTTTTACCACTGTACCCTCATCAATAAAAGAGTAAAAGGAAATATGGCCTATCTTGTAACATTATTTTAAGGCTCAGAAGTAATTACACACAGTGCCCAGCCACCAGCACAGACAAGAGGGGCTCGATAAATGGCAACATGCGATGGACACAATCTCACTGTCCCTCTCAACAAAGATACAGTAGCACCAAGCCACAGCCCTCCCTCCCAACCAGCGGGAAGCGGCCCTTCCTAATGGCGGTATGACTAAACAACTCCGTGAGCAGTTCAACAGACCTCATGGGCAGCTCTGACTAAGCATGACTCTGCCGTAAACAGGACCAAAAGCCCCAGCGAGAGACAAGCCGCCCCCAGGTTTAGCGGCAGCACGCAGGACGGCCGGCTGCAGAACGGGGGAGAATGCCAATCCCCAGCTAGACCGAGGAAGGAAGTGCTTTAATAGAAGCACTGATTTTGTTCCCGTTATCCAAGCCAGTCTAAAATTTTTTTAAAAAGGACCGGTTACCATCACCACGTAACACTCTGCAGAATTAAGGACTCCTAAGACTTCGGCTGTCACTCCAAGAGTCCCCTATTTTTCCTTAAGCCAAAAATAAACAAGAAAGAAAGGCAATGTCCTCTACATTGAAATGAAATATGGGCCAGCCTTTAAATTCAGTTCTCTCCTAAGAGTTTTTGTCAGTGTTGAGCTGACAAATTACTGAGAGAACAACGGGTCACAAGGGAAAAGGGTGTGAGAGCCTCGACCCCTGCCAGCTGAGCCACCTGTCCTGCCTCCAGCCACCCTTGGGAACACACTTTGTTCACTGGCATTTCCAGCAGCAGTGGTAACTTGCACAAAACAATCCACATGTCTCAGACCCCCATTTTATGGTTTGCCAGTCAGAGAGGGGGCCACAGTTTCCTGTCTAGAAAGGGACTTTCGCAACACTGTGACCTAAATCAGTGGTCTCCAAGGAGCTGTGAGGGCCGGGGTCCTAGAAGAAAATACGGAACAACCCCGTATTTTCCTTTTAAGCTCATCCTCCATAAAAACTCTTTATTAGGTGTTTTATAATGTATCTGAACTATGAGTAAAGGGGAACACGTCAATAACCAGAGATAAATAAGTTAGAGGTGAAGTCCTATGCAAGGATCTGAACCGTCTACCGACCAGCTTCAGGTTCTACGACTCCATCTCCAGAAGACCCTAAAGACCACAAATTTTAATTAAGCGCCTGCTGTTTTCAAATATAATTTCAAGTCATAATTAAAAATAAATTGCCAATTTCACAAAAAACATAATATTGAAAAATAGATACCAATTATGTACTTTGCTTCATTTATAAATAAACTGGAGCTAACATACAATAGTAAGGCAGCAGAGCCATGTTTCAGGGAATACTAAGAAACACACTGAGTTTTTAAATAATTCATGACCTAGTTATGACCTACTGAATGGCTCCCAAACCATACTATTTTGCTGACAGAGTAATGATCTATGATTAAAACTAATTGTCAGCATATTTACTTTGTTTTCATGTTTAAAATAGTTAATCAATGACTGATTAAAACAACAGGCCTCTAAACTACCTAATGTTTGTTAAGGTAGAAGTATTCTGTCTAAGGGGGAAATATAATTAATGCAAATAATCAAAATATACATACCTTAAAAGAAATATAAAATCAGTTGAGACAAGGTATCAAAGCTATGAGGGTCTACTAAGTATTTAAATCTGCAAACTAGGATTAAGTAGACAGAGTCTCACCCATATAACCTCTTAAAATTCAAAACAAAAGCACTCTAGGTCAGGAAGTTAGAGCAGAATCATCTTTAAAAGGCAAGGATAAGTAAGGAGCACTACTGTCTTCTTGTGTCTTTTAACAAAACTGAGGGCCCAATACGGGGGGCAGGGGGAGGGTATTTAACTTAATTTGGAAGCGAATGTTCAACCACCAACACAAACTGACTTAGATCAACTTCGGAAAACCAGTAATCACAGCCATCTGAACTAAAGGAATAGAATTCCCAGATCGATGGACACATACCCAGTTCTCATCACCACACTAAATGGGTATTACCCTATGTGGAAATATTCAGATTTCAAAATTAAAAAGATTACAAGCAATCCACCCTTAATATGAAGACTCCCAGGCTAAGACTTACCAAAAACAAGAAACATCATCCAAAAAGATACTTTCATTCATTCTACTTTACCAATCTTCTAATCAGATGCCAAATACACAATCTGTCATACAGCCTCCATTCCTAATTTAAAAAATCCTATCATTAAGGTAAACCCATCAACACTCCATGCAAACTCTTTTCATCAGAGAGGACTGACAGCTGTTTTGCTAATAAGAAGCCTGCCCTTCCCAGTTCTACAGAAACTTCATACTGTCACGACACTGCATGTCTTGTGGAACACTGGAGCTGTCTCTTTATTAATTCATGACAACATAAAAACTAGTGTTTAGCTGAGATGCAGGCAGAGTTAACCACCAAATGCAAGACGCCAAAATGCAAGAGAACACAAGTATAGTAACTCATGCTACCTTAGTAAGTCAGCGTGCACATTTTATATTTTTCAACGCAAGCCAAGCAGATTACAGGTAGTTCAAGAAACAGAGGTTTCTGTTAAATCCAGATTAATATTTTCTCATTTACAATCCCCTAGTTCAGTATTCTTATTTTAAAACTAGTAAAAAGTAGTATACTATGCCAAATGACCTAACAACTTTGCCCTTAAAATAATTATACCCCTAAAAATAGAAATTTATCTACCTCATTAGTGTTCCAACGGTGCCTCTCTTTGGGTAAACTTGAACATTTCGGCAGACATTCAAGCAGCTTTTTCGGTAAAAAGATTTTTACATGACTACTATTGCTGTTCCCATGATCATCTATAAAGAAGAAAACAATAGATTCAGAGAAAATAATAGAGGAAAATCTCCTTTTAAGTATACTGGCAAGGTCAGAAACGGCAGCTTAAGTTTGGTCACCGTGAGACCAAAAGCACCATTCCTCTCGGTTAGCAATGCTCATTTACACACTGATCAGATCAGGGGCAACAGGGATCCGGTTGAGAGGCTCTAAAATAAGATCGAGCTTTTCTGCTCCGTGACAAGCGAGTGGACAGGGAATATCCCAGCAGCTGCCCATCCCCAGAACATTACTCTTAAAGGGTCTCCCACCAGGTTTCCATGAAGTACATCCGAATTGCAAAAGGATTTAACCTCACAAAAACCAGAAATCTTCTATCAACCAGTTGAAAAAGTTTTAAGTTTTTTAGGGAAGAGGAATTATAATAAAATATGACTACTTTATTCATAAGCTAATACTACTTCATCCCCAAGAATACAAATGAGACTTGTCCTTTCAAAACCAAATTACAAATCTTATAAATATAAGGAATTTACACCTACAGGTAGTTACCTAGGTAAATACAGAGGCTGGTCCTTCTAGCCTAAACCTAAAAACATACCATGTTAATTAACTTGATTTATATATACATATCTATATAAGTAGTATCTTTCATCAAAATGTAACTCTCCTAAATTAGTGAGAGCAAACAAAGTTCATTACTTTCGGACAAGATGGTATGTCTGACTGCCTGATAATCAGTCTCCCAGATACCTTCTAGAAGAGATCATTTCCTTTATGTATTATTTCATTCATTCATTCATTTACAGGTCATTTCTGAGTTCATTCCCATAACAAAGTCCCTTTGCCTTGCTCAAAATTTCTTGCCAGTTTTGGCACACTTAGGTCAAACTTTTGAATTACACAGTCCAATTTTTCTTTTGTAATGCTAAAATCATAGTTAAAATAACTTTATTCTGATATTAAAAGGTATAATAAAAACACTGAACTCCAAATCAAGAATTCAAGATTCTGACCCAGTTCTGCTACTTTCTAATTGTGTGACCTTGGGTAAGTTACTTAATATTCTCGGTTTTCTAAATCAAGGAGAATTAAGTAATCTCCAATTCTCCTCCAGGCATAAATCCCTATGAAATTTACTGCCATTCAATAAATTTAAATGCCTTACAATTAAAGAATCTTACATAGGCATACAGGAATTAGTTAATATTATTAAAAGTTAAATACAACAATATATCTTTCCAGTCACTTACTGTAATTTTGTTTAGCATAGCCTATTTTTTGAACATGTGAAAAACATAAAAGAATAAAAAATTTTCTACAATCACAACAAAATCTTCTCCAAACATTTTTTATCTGATTAACACATTTCTTCTCAAGGGAAAGACCTTAAAAGAAAAATACTGGGCACAGCAATAAAGTCTGAAAAAATTTACTACATAATATGGAAATATTTTAAAGGGAGGAACTTAAGAGAATTGTAGCATACTAAATCTTTTTTTGGTCCATGAACTACACAACCAATTGAATTATAATGCCCAATCTTCTATTTCTAGAGGCAGTATAAAAACTTGAAAAACTTAAAAACTGCTTAAAATTTTAACAGCAAAATAAAATTAAACTTTTTAAAAATCTTGCTATGAAACCAGAAAACAAAGTTTCAACTAAGAGAATGTTCATAGAAAGTTCTGTATTAATTACCCTCTATAAAACCACTGTGATATTATGTGCTTATGCACGCTCCCTGCACCTCATCCTCCCCAGGGAGGCACCGTGGGCCATAAAACTTTAAAGCACAGAATACCAAATCACATGAGCCAATACCTCCCTTCTCTCTTCCTTTAAAGAGGTTTTATTCCCTTTTTTTTTTTTTTAAATCTCCCATGATGTGTACAATTCTGGAAGCAGAGGTGAAATTCTAAAATCTATACTCGATTCAAACCATCACCATTTACAGGATGCCTTTTACGAAAACAGTATTACATGGGTGCTCAATCAATGGGCTTACTCTGAACTGTACGGGACTAGTCATATCTCCGAGAAAACTTCTATTTAAAGTATAATTTTGAACAATGATGAAGAGAAGATTAAACCCCAGCTTCTATTTTTGTTTGTGATCACAACCTGACATTAAGTATCTATTCCTGTAAGCCTCCTTGAGGGACCCAGCTGTCCTGTGGCTATAAAAAGCGCACGTGTGTGTACGCCTACGTGTGTGTACATGTGTGTACATACACCTAGACTTGCGTGCTCCCGCCTGTGTACAGACACACGTGTGCACACACGCGGGTGTGCGTGCGCACAGGTCGCGAGAAAGAGAGACACTCTTCTCCACGGCACAACTAGCTGCCACAGAAGCGGCTTCAGTCTTCCACTCTGATACCAAACCAGGCAGCAGAGAATTGGCCCAAAGGCTCTTTTCAAGAGGAAAAGGAGAGTGTCTGTGTAAGCACCGTCTCAATCACGACTCCAAATACAGCACTTTATAGGGATGTGCAGTCATGGGTTCAAAAGGAAGAGGAGTATGACAGGCCAATGGGTTACCCTGAATCAGTTTTTAAACTGTGCTATTTCCAGAATTTTAGGTTCATGCTGAATATAAATTGGATGTTTTTTAGAAATATAACAATGGGTAAATTTTCCCACTATGTATTACGAAGATGGCAATTTTTATACTGGGGCAAGAATATTAGGAACTCAAACAGGAAGAATCTTAAATTCGTATTTTCCAAATTTCATTTTTTCCAGTTACAGTGTGATGGGAGAGTAATTCTGCTTTTCATACTGGAAAAGAACTGCTCGCTTGGCCATACTGCACAAGCTTGTGTTTTTTAATTAAAAGCTGCTTTTTAATGTTTTTGGAATAACTATAAATGATACAGTAATTAGACAAGTCATTGGGCCAGTTTTTAAAAGTTTGTCTCAGTACTAAGACTATTAAGAATATCTTGAGTTAACAGTGAAAGTAAGGTATATACCAGTTTCAACTGCGTCTGAGCATTTAATCCAAATAGTTAAACTTTGACACTGCAACACTGAAGCGTCAACCAAAGACAGGAAAACATTTCATTATCATTATCTAGCAAAATATGTGTGTATGATATATGACTTCGCAAAATAGTTTTCTAACCTACTTCACAGTAAAAATAACTAGTGAAGCTCTTGAAACTGACAGATGATGTGGTTGGCTGACAGCTGTAATTCTAGAGAATAAACCATCCTTTCCAGACAACCTTTAAATATTTTCCAAACAATAATTTTAGAGGCATCATACAATTTAACTAAAACTCTCTAAAATATGCAAAAATGCTCTTTCACTTAATTAGGCAAAAGGTAGAATTCTTATTTTCATGTTTTATTTCAAAAAACCAAAACTCACATTACCAAATCCTTTATCTAAATCAAAAAAGATATATAGAACTCTCTCCTTCGAACACCCTTATTGACTCCTGTACAGGAAATGTTAACTATATTAACTCTAACCTGGAAATGATAATATCCAATTTATTTTGATTCATAATTAATAAAAATTAAACAATTTTGGTTCCATGAATAATTATGAACACTGTTATTCAATCAAGTCAATTATGATTAATCTCTCAACCTCTAGACCAAACTGTTCAAAAGAAGTTGGTATAACAGTGTATCCAATGCTGAATCTTATTGGGAATATATTTGATCAACAACTTGGAATGGTAAAATTAAAAGGAAACTCTACAATTTTTCTGTTCAGCTCTAATTATTATGTGCTTAGATTTAATTAGTAGGATAGGAACTGATTCAGGAAAACATAAGCACATATTGTTATATTCAAGTCAGCACAGCATTCACAGCAGCAATACAGCCGTCACTAACCTAAGACCTTCAAATCACTATGCATCCAAAATAAATATTAATTAAGCAACAATGTGCTTAATTATGCACCAAGCATCAGTATGATAACTCTCTAAAAGAAATTCTCCAAATGAATTACTCAATTGTAATTATCCAAAAGACTTTTGAAGTTAAAAAAAAAAATAGTTTGGGTTTTTTGGGGGTTTTGTTTTGTTTTGTTTTTTTCATAGAAAACATAACTAGTTTTCGCTATTTAACAACCCCTTTCCCTCTTCTTTGAGTGCGTGATCATCAAATCTCACCCTGCCTTTTTTTAGGTGGCCCAGGTTTACCCGCTCTCCCTGTCAATCATACCACCAAATCTCTGGTCTGAGTTTAGGTCAACTTCTAATGCAGGTTCAATAAACTTTATCATTATTTCACTTTTTCACTATTTAACAGGAATTGACATTTTCAATTTAAAAATGTGCGCGCAGAGGCAGATAAAGTGGGAGCACAGAAGCTGTGCAATCGGCAGCTTCAATTTAGGTCCCGGGGCGTCCTCTCGTGCTTCATTCCATTCAATTTCAATTTGAGCTGCACGTGATCAAGTAAATTTATTTTCAACTATTTATTAGGAAGTAAACATTTGCGGGACTCTACATCAGGCATCCAGAAAAGATTTTACATTGCATTCTCTCACTTAATTTTCACAATTACCCATCAGGGCATAATTACCCTCATTTTACAGATGAAGAACCTGAGGTTCAAATTCCCTTGCCCAGGAGCCACAGCGAGTGACTCAAATGGGATTCAAATGTGACCTGTTGCTTTTCCCACAATACCACACGGCTCCTACTCGAAGTCACGGGAATTAGATACTAGAATTATAGAACTATTGTATTAGTATCTAGCATTTGCAGAGTGCTTTGAATTTCCCATGTGATTAAATGCTTTGCCTTTTTGAACCCTCCCAGAAACTTTACAAAGGGAGTATTATTTTGCTACCCCCAGAAGGATTAAGTAACTCATCTAAGATCACACAGAAAGTTAAACGCAGAACGCAGGTCCCCTAAGGCCCAGCCACAGGCTAGTTCCACTGCACTATCATGATGGAATTACTCTTACGGCCAAGCCCACCCCTTCCTGTAAGTCAAAAGCTTTTCGAGTCCTACCTTCTAGAGGTGGCACGGTGTTGAGAACACAGTAGGTGCTAGTTCCGCAGAATACACTTTGGGAAACGCTCTAAGGAAACAGAAAATAAAATGTAAAACTAATCTTTGAAAAAGATATATACTGGCTCTTCTGTGATATTCCTACCGAAGGTGCAAAACCTGAATCTAATCATGAAGAAACATCAGACAAATCCAAATTAAGGAACATTCCACAAAATGACCGGCCTGTAATCTTCAAGAGTGTCAAGGTCCTGAGAGTCAAAAAGGACTGAGAACTCCTCTGTATTAAAGGAGCCTGAGGAGACAACAGAGTGTGACCCAGGGTCCGATTGGACCTTTCTCTACTAAGGTCACCGTGGGGTCATCTGGCCAGCTGCAGGAGCAGTTGAGGATCAGAGGGTAGAAATGCCTCCGTGTTAGTTTCCTGATTTTGATCACTACAGTGGTTACAGAGGAGAATGCCCTCACCTCTGGTTTGCAGGAAACACGTAAGCAAGCCCGTGAGGACATATACCAGCAACTTATGCGCACAAGGTTCAGAGGGCAAAAAGCTCTTCCCGCTACACCTGCAATTTTTCTGAAGGCTTCAGAGTGTTTCACAATATAGGTGTGTAGAAAAAAGATATGTGCTGGTGAACACGTATCATGTGCAGGATTTTTTAATAAGGACCATATGTGCTGTAAATACAGGAAATGTTTGCTAAGAACCAATGCCATATTCATTTTATAGTCTAGTCAGTTTCAACAACATCGCTAACCATTTCCCAACAGTGCGCCCAACCCCCGGCTCATTCCAAAGGACTTAACGGGTGCCAACTAACAGTACGGCAGTGCAGTAAGTCAGGAGGAGGTTGGAAGACCAGGTCTCTGCTCTCGGGCTGCTTCATGTAAATAAAATTAAACTTGTCATGTAAAAATCTACAAAACAGTACATTTAAAAAAAGGAAAACAATTTCTGTGAGTCTTGCCAGTCAATTATTTTGGTCCTAAAAATACCCTTCTTCAGGTGCAGTATTAAAAAATTTAGATTATTCATCCTGCATTACAAACCACATACGTGTGGACTTAGGAAACCAAGGACAGTTTAGAAGTTCAACCACCACCCTTCGCATTTTATATTTAAAACAGGAAAGGCTCAGTTCTCTCACTAGCAATCCTTGGAAAAGTAAACTGACCCCTCCATATGACCTCATCAGAAAGGGGCAGCACTGGCGCCTCTCCTGCCTCACAGGGTCATGTGGAGGATCGCAGGGCATGATGTGCGCAAAGTGCTTGAAATTCAAAACCACAACAGGAATATGAAGTGCCACTGTTTCCATGCTTAGTAAGAATAATCCTTACCAGTGTTAACATTTCCTAACAACTGAGGGTTCCCTGAATTTTTTGTGCCAAAGAGAGTATGAAATCTTGAAATCTGACTAAACTTGACCTCTACGAATTTTTAATTTTCCTCTCCTTACATCCATGATCAAGCGCTTCACCACAGACTAGGTCTTTCTCCACAATGTGACTGCTAGCTATTAGGATAACCATCAGCTCCCTAATTATTTACTGTTTCTGGAAAATTCTTGTTCAAGGGCTTTTAATGTCTCTTTGTTTGATTTAATCAACAGTGGTACTTACTGACTAGCAACCTGTGGTAACATCTGAGCCTAAGAATTCTCCCTATAAACTAAGGACTAAGCTCAGAATTCATGAAACCTTTGGAAAATCAACATTCATCTCTTCCCGTGACTGTGCATGTGGAATTACAGGACATTATAAGGAGTGGCTGATGGAAAGCCGACAGCAGTCTGACTTCGAGTAACATCTGTAAGAGCCGCCAGCAACAGCCTTCTAACCACAGAATTCAACATCTCATCTTAATGTCCTTTTGGAATTGAAACTTGAAATTTTATGATGTTGAAAAGGATGTGCTACATTCAAGGCTTAACATTTTCTGGCTTCCTATTACCCAAAAAAGACAGAATAAGTTTACCACTTAACAAGACATCTTAATAACAGTCTTAACGTCAAAAGATTTAGAAATGACTCACATACAGTGGGACACACTAATGAATGGCTTCATAAAAAAGGACTTTTACACTAAACTTCAAAGTTCAACAACAGGTAAATGAGCAGTAAAACATACCAAATAACAAATCAGAAGAATTAAATGCTAAAAAAAGAAAAAGTAACAGAAATATCACAATCAACCGTGACTTCTCTTCAACACTGGCAAAATGAAGTCTTAATTTAACCAGAAAAGAAACTCACTCACATAAACTGAGAGTGAAAGCAAGTCATTCTATCCTCAAAAACACCAGGTTCTCAAGGGAAAAAGGCTAAAACACAAGAAAACTTCCATGAGCAAAGGCTATCTTATATTGAAGACCCACAGGCCAGACTCTGGGATAGGCCTTTCATCCCGAGGACCCTCAGATCGCTTTCCAAAACCTGTTCAACACAACACCAAGCCAGAGGTGGCTCTGGGTAGGAGGGGCACCCATCTGAGGGTCTGCAGAGTGGAGCCTCTATCCCAGTCCCACTAACTGCTGAGGTCTGAAGCAAACGGCTGGCCTCTCTGCCCCCAGGACAACACTCTATAAGTGCAAGTTCAAGGGCAGACAGATCTGGGTCCAAGACCACCCTCAGCTTCATGTCTTCATGCCGTCCTTCCTGGCTGACTCTTGAAGTCAACCATCCTTCGGAAGCCTTCCAATGACAGGTCACCCTGCTGGTGCCATCTGAGCAGCCCGCAGTTCCCTCTGTGTCACAACTCCTTCTACCTGTCCTACAGATATTAAAGGGGCACCTAATGTGTGCCAGACACTGTCCCAGGAGCTGGGACCTAGCAGCAAACAAGTCAAAGAGCAGGGCCTGCTCTCATGGTGCACCTGCCAATGGGGGAAGTGAGTGGAAAGCAGGGTAAATGCTGTGGATATACAATGCGTGACGCATGATGATGAGCAGTCGGGTGGGGAAAACATCTCTGAACGGACACCCATGCGCAGAGTGAAAGGCCTCCTCCACCCAAGCATCAGGAAAGCCAGCTTCTCGCACTACCAGGTGAGCAGCTCTCAGCTCGGCAGCAAGTCAGTCATCCAAGGAGATTTTCTGAATGCTGATGCCCAGGCTGCAAGCCTGACCAGCTAAGTCATACTGTGTGGGGCTGGGACCCAGGCATCAGTAGTTTTGAAATGTTTCCAAGTGATCCCAAGATGTATCCAAAGATGGGAACCACTAAAATAAACAGCTGTGTGACTCTGGGCAACTCCCTACTTTAACCAGTTTCTTCAAGAGTAAAATGGGGGGACTGACCTTCAACAGAGACTCTCCAACTTTTATGTGCGGGTCACCTGAGGACCTTATTAAAAATGCAGGTTCTGACGCACAGGTGTGAGTGTGGCCCCGCCCTGTGCCTCTATCGGGCCCTGGGTGATGCCCATGCCATGATTCAGGGCCATACCCTGTTTACCAGGAACTAGAAGTTTTTCTAAAAGATCAAGAATTCACTTAAAAAGATCCTTCCAGTGGTAACATTCCTCCATAATTCTAAGAATTCCTTACAGACTAAAAAAGCACATTTGTCTGTTAACACAAACTATAATACAAAACTATAGTAGAAAATTCAAGCAAAATAATTAAAAGAAACTACAGGGATGGTTACTCAATTAACAAAGTGTCCAGCATCTCTAGAAGTGCCCAAGAGGGGAGAAACAGAAGCTCTATTAAATATATTCCCTGCCTTCAAAAAGTACTCTACCGACTTGCCAGCAGACAGTACTAAAAAAGTGTAATGAAGAAACAATGCATGATTTATTAAAGGCTAAAAGGAGCAGATGGTAGCAGTAGAGAAACTCCGTAACTATCTGCATACCTAGCACACTCTCTGGAAGTGTGGATGCCCTTCGGCAGCCCAGGTCAGGGGGTGACACAGAGTTTTGGGATGCTGGAATAAATGAAACAAAATGCTACATAATAAGAAGTGATTACAGGCTTTTGAACAGAGAAGCTGCATGATGAAAACTGTATTTACATTTCTTTGAAATAAGGACTCTGAATGTTTAAGTCTCCATAGAGTCCCTTTAAAGCCAAGTGAGGCCCCACACAGCTCATTAAATCAAAGACGGAGAGAGGCCACACTGAACAGTAAGAACTTGTATCAGCAGAAATGATACACTCAAAAACTTTTGCCACATATCTTATCATGACTTCAACTGATTCTTAAAATTCACTGGTCGTTGCATATAACATGACATATAAATAGTCAAAACTGAAGCAGAGTCCGAAATTCTTAGCACTCCACTACACTCACCAGTGCTGACTAGATTAGTCAGGAAGGCTACTCAGAGCAAACTGTATCATGGCTCAAATACCAAAAATATTTACTTCTTGCCGGTGTGCAGTCCAAAACAGGTGTTCAAGATCAGCAGAGAGCTCCCTTCCAAGTAGCAGCTCTGGGAGCCGGCACCCTCCTCGGGTCACCAGGCTCTTCTGCCTCAGCAGGGGCAGGCTGTACGCAGGGCACACACCATGCCTGGAGGGTTTTCCGGGCCAGGCCTAAAGTGGCACACTTCTCTGCTCTCGCGCCATTGGCTAACATTTGGCCACAAGGCCACGCCTAATTGCAAGAGAGGCTGGGAAATGTGGTCTGGCTACATGCCCAGGAAGAGGAGATGGATTTCTTGATCAGCTAGCAGCCTCTTGCACAATGCCATTTGCGTGGGGTTTTTTTTAATTACAGAAGAAATCACTCCTTTCAGAAATGCCTTCTGTTAACCTACAAGTCCACCTTTAATCCCTCAGGCTATTCAGCAGCTAAAACCAATCTACTAGTTTTTCTTGTCTGGTAAGTATTTTTCTAACATACTCAAAATAAGACTATCTCAAGGGCATCCTTAAAGGGATGTCTGGCTTTTGGTCCCGGTATCTCTAGTACTTAACACTTAATGTCTGGCACACAAAGGAAGCTCAAATGATGGTTGAATTCCCAGACAAATGACATTCCCAGAAGCTCATGGAAAAGAGAAAGAGTGGCCCCATGTCTTACCATGGTGATGGTGGGATTTAGGACGGCCACCCTCTCTC